ACCTTTGGTACTGTGTTTTTAGCTTCATCTTTAATTACGGTTTTAACTCTGTTTACAGGAATCCAGGAACATGGAGAATCTGCCCAGACATGTCTTTTCCAGGTAAAATCTTTTGCAAAGAAGTGAAATTTTTGACGGTATGGTATGGTATGGTAATTTACATAATGATTCTTCACCTTCCCATGCAATATATTCTGCACATGTTTAATAACTTTTTTTTTCCCTTGTTGATGTCCTATTGTGATCCATACTTCAACTGTCTTGTTAATTTGATTTGTGCTTCTTTGGTGTAGGATATCTACCTCTATCACCTCCTTCGCACGCAGTAAGTTAGGTTGTTAATTGTGTGTGTCTGTGTTTGTATTTGCTCGTTGCTAATTTAGTTTATTTTTCATCTTCTTTGATGCTCTTTAGGAAATGTTGTTCCGTGCCTTGGAGTGCCTTTTTCTGGTCTTTGCTGCTTTATGTACAGGTGAGTGAGAGTAGTTTTGCAAACATGACCTTTTAGTAGAGAGTCCCTTTGTTCATCTTGCTTTTCCATTTTTGATAGTCATATCATCGGCCCATTCTTTTGTTGTGACTAATTTTCTCTATTTCTTTCTTTCCCTGGACGCGTTGTGAGTCAGCATGGATTTTGATGGCCGTTGGTATGTAATCTTATCCGACTTCATCTAAATTATTTGCCACCCTTGTATGTTTGGAAGTTGATTTCAGATTCTATATGTGAACTCATGTCGTATTCATTTTCCTGCGCTTTCTTATTAACCTCCAAGAATTTTAAGTACGAGTTCTCTCATTACAGGGAACGAAGAAATTCAGAAGCTAAAAATGATATGTGAGTCAGTGTCATTGTGCCTTCCGTTTACTTTTCATGAAAATATTTCTTACATTTTTTTAGGTGAAATGTGCTGATCTTATTGACACTCATTCATTAGAGTTATAAAGTTATCATGTTATTATTGTTGCAGAAAGGAGAGCTCAGAAGTACTGTCCTCCCTTAGGAAAAAAAGGTTGACTTTAGCTTTGAATGTTTGGATGATATAGTTTGTCTTGGGCATCCTTTAATTAGTTAGTTTGGTTGGGGTCTTGTTAGTTGTCTGTCGACTGATGTTGGTTAATAAATTATTGGCAGGACGGAATTGGAGGTCGGTATTGAGAGGTATGTCCGCAGTTCCTAATAATTTGTACATGTTTTTTTGCCGACTTTATTTCTGTTGTTGTTGGGATAACTTGGGGGCTAGAACCTATTAGGTTTGTTATTTGGAAGTGTACGATTTGTTATTTTCACAAATACTATGTTGATTGCTTTTGCCCTTTAACTATGCTGAAAACTGAACCTGAACCTTGAATACAGTAGATTTGTTTTACAAAACTGTCAACTCTAATCAAGTATGAGTATTCACATGAGAGCAACGTGGTCACAAATCCAGTCCTTTAATTAGTTAGTTTTAAGTTTATACTTAAAAATGATGTGTTATAATGTCCTGTTCTATGATTAAAATCTTGGATTGTCAAGTCCTTTAATTAGTTAGTTTGGTACCTTTTTATCATTATTATGTTAGTGTTGATTGACGCATGAGACTTTTTATGTGCAATTCAGGTTACAAGAAGAAATCAGGAATGGTGGGGAAACAGGAATGGTGGGGAAAGAAAGTGGGAGGTATGAAGCTCGAGGTTGGTTTTGGTAGGAGTTCTTTGTCATGGGGTATGAAAATATTTAGTATGTACCATCTCTACTAATTTTATCTAATGTGTTGGTCGAATGATTTGATCTTTAAACATTTGGATCATTGTATTTTCGTTTATGGAACGCACATTTGCCAGTCTGTCTGTCTGTCTTGCTTTGCTTTAGTTATGGACCATTTTATATGCTTATATTATTATTGTTTTTTTTTTTTTTNTTTTTTTTTTTTTTTTCTTGATGTTGCTCAGCATTTTCCACATAGATGTTCCGTGTTGTCCTTGCTGCTATAGTTGAAACACACAAAATTTATGATCCAACCAATATATTTACTCAGTGTAATTAGCGCCAGCCGTCGGGAACTATCCATGATAATTTCATTGGCAGCAGGAATATTTGTGCTTGCATTGAAAGGAGAGTATCATCTGCGGTGTTTCTCTGCGTGGACCCAACACCGAATGTGAATTCTCATGGGGGGACTTCGAATGAGGCCCAGGAAAATATTTGGACTTGAGGTGGAGGTTCGTTCAGCCTTGAGAACCCAAAGCATACTCAAAAAACAGCAATTGTGTGTTGTTCGAATATTTTTTGCTCCTACTCTTCAGCAATATGGAAGAAAAGACACGAACAAAAATAGTTTAGCTTCGGATTCCCCATTTTGTACATAACTTAGATTAATAAATTTATGAGGTTCCAAATTAACAACAAGGAAAAGAACTGATGCAATAAAAGTTATTTTTAAGTTTGCGATTTCAAACATTACATCACAAAATATAAAACTCTTCAATTTGTTACAAAACCAAAACAACTTTTAAATGGTAGGCACTATGTGATGAAGAATAGAAAACTGCAACTATATTGTATTACTCGACTAGTGAAGTCTCACCTAAAAGCTGAATCACTTCATCAAACCGCAGTTTTAGATCATCGTTGGAAAGCAAAATTGTCCTTGGGCAAGGTTGTGGGTGGTTGAGAAGGTGTGGAGAGTTATTTACATAGTAATAGAAAATCAGTTTTGGCCATTAACTACAAAATTTCCAATAACAAGAACACCCAAACCAGCAGCACCACCGAGGCTCGAGAACTTTTATGGGGTGCTGCAAGCTAGATGCTTTTCTTGAAAATCTTTAATGAAATTGGCCATCTCTACTGTACTCCATATTATTTCTATTTTGGTTTTTGTTTTAACATATAAATCATTCTACCATTATTGCAGTATAGAGTTTGATCGTGATGATGAGCTGTTTGCCACTGCTGGAGTTTCACGGCGTATAAAAATCTTCGGTTTCTCTTTGGTAGATTTCTTTCTCCTCTTTACCTACACTATCTGTACATAGCTTTTCCACACTTCAAATACATTTAGAGGAGATTACACCTATTCTCCACATTTATCAACATATCAGTTAGTTACCTTTACCTACCCCTTCTGTGATCTTGAAGTTTTCTGATAGTGACCTGTCACTGGACAATATGCTTTGGTGTTACAGGAGGTTGTCAATGAACCTACTGATGTGCACCCTGTTGTTGAGGTGGCAACACGGTCTAAGCTTAGCTATCTGAGCCGGAATCGCTTCACGAAAAGTCAAATAGCTAGTAGTGATTACGAGGGAAAAAGTAACTGTTTGGGATGCATCTACACAGCAGGTAGGATTTAGCACAAACAACAAAATTTGGTAAGGCCCTTACCATAACTCATTTCATTTGTAAGCGCTAATTAACTTTTGGGGTCGTTCAGAGTATCATGGAATATGAGGAGCATGAAAAACGTGCATGGTGTGTTGATTTTTCCCGCACAGACCCTTCAATGCTCGTGTCTGGTAGTGACGACTGCAAGGTGAAGTGGCAACACTTTTATTGCTCAAATGGAAGCCACGTCTAATTTGTTTCTCATCCTTGCTCACATTTTTCTTTTATCTTTGTTTTCTCCCTTTTCTGGAACAAAAAGACTAGTAAATATTATGATTGTGAATAATGTAATACTGAGACATTCAAGGCTAGCGAATCTTATAGGACCCAGTATAAATAGAAAGAAGTAATGACTCTGCTACTTTTGCAACTTAACTACTCTGATTAAATTAAACTACTCTTCGCAGCAATTAGTTAAGTCTCTTCGTAGCCTAGGGATGAAGCTACCGAACTCATAGACTTTGTCCAATCCACAACAAAATGAATGAAACGAAAAGGAAGTTCTTCGAACAGGACTTAGGAGCTGACTGAGTACAAAGTCGATAAGATGTTATCATGATGTGGTTTTTCCTATCATCCCCTTCTAAGCCAACGGAGGCTAGAAAGGTCTATTTCATTCACTCATAAGATCATCCATCCCGAATTCCACAACATTGGGATGAAAGGTGTTCTGACTCTATTATCTTATATCTGAACATAATGGACTGTCACGTATCACTTGAATCCTCGAACAAGCGAACCGAGTTCATTATTCGTATCATTCATTTGGGTTAGGCTGATACAAGATGTCTTTGCACACTATTTACTCTTTTCCTTCACTTCGCTTCGTTTGTTGGATCCATGTAATTGAGAAACCTTGCATTTGCTTTGTTTGCGCAGGCTACGTTTGAGCTTTTTGTAATATTTTGATATACCTTTGATATGAGAACTAGCACCCATGCAAGCTTTTGGTTCCTCTGTGAAGCCTTCATACGGTTGACACAAAAAGTGTAATGTATTTTCTATCATTCAGCGTATGGGGAACCCTACTTGATCAATTTACGGAAATTTCAGTTTAAAGTATGGTGTACTAAGCAAGAAGCCAGCGTCCTCAACATTGATTTGAAGGCAAAATATATGCTCTATAAAGTATAATCCCGAGTCAGAGCAAATATATTGCGGTAATAGTCTTTCTTGTCTAGCCTATTCAAATGTCGTCTTTTCCTTTTCCTTCAAAAGTAAAATAAAGGGACAATGAGCAAAGGTAAATTAGCAGTGGCAGATAAGCTGAAATCTCTTTCCTCTGATGAATGAAACGCCTAAAAATGTGCCATTTGTATTCTGCAGGTTGGTTCTGCAGATCATCATCATATCCATTATTATGACTTGAGGATCATCCTATTCATGTGTTCAGTGGCCATAAAAATACGGTTTATTACGTAAAATTTTTGTCTGAAAACGAGCTTGCTTCTGCATCGACAGATAGTACGCTTCGACTATGGGATGTCAAGCAACATTCACTCGTAAATTTCATTTTCTATCTTTTCCTTCATAACTGAAGCCCATTTTTAACGTGTAATTATTCTTGGTGTTTGATTTCACTATCTCAACATTTTCATGTTACGGGTCTATGATTCAGGTTCTTACCTTTAATGGGCACACGAACGAGAAGAATTTTGTGGGCCTAACGGTGAACAAGGAGTTCCTAGCTTGTGGCAGTGAATCGAATGAAGTGGTTGTCTATCACAAGGTACTTATGCAGCTTCAATTTTGTCCAACTCTTCCTTTTTTTGATGAGGAAGAAGACTCGGTATCTTACTTCATAAGTGCAGTTTTGCTGGAAGAGTGATAGCCCCACAATGTTAGCAGCTAATAGTAAAGGAAGGAACAATAAAAGTGTTGGGCCTTTCTCCTTGAACTTTTTGTATAGTTTCTAATGTATATAGTCTTTTTGTCTAGCTTTGTGCATAAAAGTGCTGATCCCAGCACCATTAAGTGTATCCAAAATCAAGTCCCAAATTCACTCTACCATACGTCTTGGCTAAATAAAGTTTGATCGCCATCCAACCTATTATTTCACCTTTTATGAGACTTGTGAGTGTCACCACATCCGTGCGCTCTCAGACACGGGGCTCCCACATCACCGACGAGGAGGTAGCTCAATTCGGCATGAATAATGATAAGTACATGATAAATCAACTTGCTGAGATGTTCACTAATTACATAGCGAAAGGCGCAGATTTTGAGGCGGTGCGCAAAGCTGGGCTTCGAAACATGTTATACGCGTGGCATAAGAATGGGCCGCTGACTTATCTAAACCGAAATGCCTACTTCTGGTAATTTGGCTTTTCCCTTTGACTTGGACAGTGAATGGAATGTGATTAACGTCTTTGTTCAGTTTCTTTTGAATCTCGCAACCAATCAAGATGACAAACCCCTCAGTGAAAAAGGACATCTGGTTTCTTCCTCTGCCTGAGGCGCCGCATGAGTGCAGTGTCACTTTTTGGAAATAGAGGCTTTGAAAGTTTTTGTGTGGAATGCCGGAGTTAGCCCAAGCCTTGAAATTTAAATTAATGCACATAGATTATCTAAAAAAATTTTGTGCTTGTTGCTTGAATTGTTTCAGTTATGTGTGAAAGAAATTATATGCTAAATGTATTGAGATATGAACTCAGAGAGAAAAGAAAAAGGAACGCTTGATATTCTTGATGAACAGAAAAATGAAAGTACAAAAGTGATTCTGAAACCCTAATACAAGCTATTTATACATAAGCTAAATAACTAAAAGTGCTAATACTGTAAACACAACTTTGGTTCTCCAAATGCACTAATAAGCAAAATACTGAAATACCCTTACATTAATACCCCCCGCAAGTTAAGCATGGATATTAGACATGTTTAACTTGGCTAACAAATTCTCAAACAAAGGAAAAGCTAGAGGTTTGGTTAAAATATCAGCAGGCTGTTCACTTGTAGGGATATGCTGTAAATGAATCACTCATTTGGCAACCTTCTCCCTTATGATGTGACAGTCTATCTCTATGTGCTTTGTCCTTTCATGATGAACTGGGTTATGGGCAATGCAGATGGCAGACTTACTATCTGAAAACATAGAAACAGGTTGTGTATGAGAAATGTGTAAATCAGAAAGTAAGTAAAGGAGCCACTGTGTCTCACAAGTGGTGGAAGCAAGAGCCCTGTACTCTGCTTCAGCAGATGATTTACTAACAGTATTTTGTTTCTTTGATTTCCAGGATACTAAAGAATTACCAAGAAAAATTGCATAACCAGTTATGCTTTTTCTGGTGTTGGGACATCCAGCCCAATCACTGTCAGAATAAGCATTTAAATGTAAAGAGGAGGTCCTGGGAAAGAGTATACCTGAGCCTGCAGTGGCTTTCACATACCTTAAAACCTTATGAGCTGCAGCTAAATGATCTGTAGTAGGCTGAGACATGAATTGGCTTAAACATTGAATGCTGTAAGCAAGGTCAGGCCTTGTAATGGTTAAGTATAGAAGCCTGCCCACTAACCTTCTATATGCAGATGCATCAGTTAATGTAGAAGTGGGAGATGCAACAGTTAATTTAGAAGTGCTATGCATTGGTGTTTTAGCAGGTTTACACCCTATATAACCTGTGTCAGAGAGGATATCCAATGCATATTTTCTTTGGCATAAGTGTATCCCAGTTTCAGAGTGGGCTACCTCTAAACCTAGGATATACTTTAAAATGCCCAAATCTTTTATGGTAAAACATGCATCTAGGTGAGCTTTAATGGCTTGAATTTCAGACAGAGAGTTACCAGTCAATATTATGTCATCTACATAAACTAATAAAGCAATAAATGAAGAATCAGATGACTTGGTAAAGAGACTGCAGTCAGCAGATGATTGAATAAAGCCATAAGAAAGTAGACAAGAAGTCAATTTGCTAAACCACTGCCTAGAGGCCTGTTTTAAACCATATAAGCTTTTTATCAATTTACAGACCCTAGAATCAGAATCAGTACAGTAACCAGGGGGAGGAGTCATATAGACTTCTTCATCAAGGTCCCCATGTAAAAAAGCATTATTGACATCTAACTGATGTAGATGCCAATTTTTAATAGAAGCAATAGCAAGTATAAGTCTGACAGTAGTTATCCTAGCAACAGGGGAAAAAGTATCAAAATAATCAATTCCCTCTTCTTGGGTATAACCCTTTGCTACTAGTCTAGCCTTATATCTCTCAATACTACCATCAGATTTGTACTTAATTTTATAAACCCATTTACAACCTATAGCATGTTTTCCAGTTGGCAAATCAGTAAGAACCCAAGTATTGGTTTTCTCTAAAGCAGTTAATTCTTTATTCATGGCTTCTTGCCAAAGAGGGTTCTTTACTGCTTGTTTGTAAGTTTTGGGTTCAACATTTTCAGAAATTGCAGCAGTGAAACAAGCATGTTCAGGAGATAAATGATTAATGGATAAATAATCAGAGATGCAGTAAGGTTTACCTGAGCAATGTTTTCCAGAAATAGTCATGGAAGAAGATGTTTGATTAGAATGTGGAGTATAGGGTTGTTTGGTAAGAGGATTGGTGTAGATGCTGAGGTATGATGGAGTGGTTCTATGTCTGGTTGATCTTCTCAGAGAAGGGGAAGGGGGGCAATCAGGAGGTGTATGTGATGAAGTATGGGGTGAAGGGATTGTATTTATATCAGAGGGTGTAGGAATTATTGGATTAGATGTTTGAATAATAGAGGGTGTAGGAATTATTGGTTGAATAACAGTGGGCTGACTGTCATGGGAATCATCAAATGGAAAATCTGGGGGTTGAGGAAATAGACAGTCCAGTGAAGTTTTATTAGGGAATTTGAAAGGGATAACATCTTCAAAGAAAATAACATTTCTGGAAATTAGTGTTTGCTTGGTATCCAGGTTGTAAAGTTTGTAGCCTTTACAACCAAGGGGATATCCAAGAAGTATGCATTTAGATGATCTAGGAGCAAATTTGTGTCTGTTTGATTGCAAAGTAGATGAATAACATAAGGAACCAATGACTCTGAGATGATCCAATGATGGGGGTTTGTTAAAAAGCTTTTCAAAAGGAGATATGTTTTGTAAAAGTTGTGAAGGAATCCTGTTTATGATATGAGCAGCAGATTGAATGCAGTCTATCCAAAAGGTTAAAGGTAAATGACCATGAAAGAGAAGTGCTCTGGCAACTTGTAAAAGGTGTTGATGTTTTCTTTCAACTCTCCCATTTTGTTGGGGTGTTTCAACACAACTTGTTTCATGAATTATGCCATGTTCTTTGTAAAAATCATGCATGAGAAATTCAGTACCATTGTCTGACCTAATGGTTTTAATGTTTTTGTGAAACTGAGTTTTGACAAGATTTGAAAAATGTATTAATGCAGATTTAGTGTCAGACTTATGACAGATAGGGTAAATCCATGTGACTCTTGAGTAATCATCAACAATAGTAAGAAAGTATCTATGTCCAGCATATGAAGCAGTTGAAAAGGGACCCCATAGATCACAATGAATTAAATCAAAAATGCCAGATGCAATGGAAATGCTATGTGAAAAGGGTAACCTTTTCTGTCTTGAAAATTGGCAGATATCACATGGTTTGTCAGCAATAGGTTTACAAGAATCAGAACATACAGATAAGGTATCAAGTTTATGGTATGATAAGTGTCCCAGTCTGTAGTGCCATATGGCATGGGATACAGTGGTTGATACATTGGATGAAGTAAGGGATACATGGTTTGAAACAGGTAAAGAAACAATAGAGGAAACATTTGATTCAACAGACATTGTTGCATTTACATTTTTCAGAAAATCAGTAGAAAGATGGTAAAGTCCAGCTTTGACCTCAGCAAAACCAATCATTTTGCTGTTCAGGTCCTGTATCACACAGTAAGAGGAGACAAATTTGACCATGCAATTATTGGATGCAGATAATTTTGATATGGATATAAGATTGAATGAAAATTTTGGAACATAGAGAGCATTGAGGAGCACAAGATTAGGTCCCAGATTTATCTGTCCCACATGGCTAGCCTCAGTGTAATCACCATTTGGAAGATTTATTTTAATAGAAATGGGAGTTGGTGGTTTTGAAAATAATGACAAATCACAGACCATATGATCTGTTGCTCCTGTATCCAGGATCCAGGTATTTTTAGAAAATTTAGTTTGAGAAAAACAGATAGTAGGATTGACCTTACCAACATCAATGGCAGTTTGAGCAACAGAATGAGCAGTAGCAGCAACAGGATTAGTAGAGGATCCTGTTCCCTGTTTCTGCTCAGAAAACTTTTTGAAATCCAGAAACTCATGATATAATTGGTCAGTCATAGAGGATGAAATAGGGGTAGAATTGACAGTTGTGGAAGTAAAATTGGCCTTGGGATTCATTTTGTCAGGGTGAATTCTAGGTCCCCTAGGCCCTATCCAATTAGCAGGATAGCCTATCAATTGATAGCATCTGTCAGTGGGATGATTGTAACCACAATGGTCACATTTTTGTTTCTTCTTGGGAGGTAAGGTTGACTGAGAAGAAGGTTGGGATGAGCTGTATGGTGGTTTGTATGGTGGTTTCATTGTTTTGGCAAGCATAGCAATAGAGTCAACAGTTTTAGAAGGATTTTGTAGTGTTCTCTGGCTCTCCTCTTGAAGTAGGAGTGAGTAGACTTTGGATAGTGGGGGTAAGGGGTTGGACAACAAAAAATGACTCCGGAGAGAGGAGTATGAATCATTTAAACCAATGAGGAATTTCATTACAGCATCTTGTTGTTGAGCAGATAACATAGAGTCAAAAATGTTGCAGGTGCAAGAATTAAAAGCTCCACAAGTGCAACGAAAAATAGGTCTGTAGGCTACATATTCATCCCAGATAGTTTTGAAAGAATTATAATATTGTGTGACAGACAGAGCACCCTGATCCATGGAACTAAGGGATTTTTCCAATTGAAAGACACGAGGACCACTACTGAGGGCATACCTAGACTTAAGTTCATCCCAGACATCCTTGGCAGATGTAAAAAACAACAGAGACTGTCGAATGTCTTTTGAAACAGAGTTTAGAAGCCAGGATAGAACTAAGTTGTTGGCACGGACCCATGCAACATATTGATTAGGATATAAAGAAGATGAGGGGGTCGAAATTGTACCATCAATGAAACCGGACTTGTTTTTGACACTAAGAGCCATTAGAACAGCGCGTGACCAAGATACATAGTTCTCACCAGAGAAAACAATTAAGGCGCCTGGATTATCACTCGGATGGAGGAAGAACGGTGACGATGAATCATCAGTGAGTGGTACGGTAGCCATAGTAGCAAGATCGGGCTGTATTCTGAAGGAATCAGCTGCTGAAAAGCGTCAGGAATCACAGCAATCGTCAAAAATCACAGCAATCGTCGGAAATTGCAACAATCGTCGGAAAAGTGATCTGGATCTGAGATAAACGGCGTCCAAGCGTAGATCGGCGAAGAGTATCACAAGATACGTGTAGATCGATGAGAATCGACAAACAGATATATATCGAAAAGAGAAAATCGAAACAGATAGCGAGAAAACCCTAAATCGAGAGTTTTCGGGCAATATGGATATAGAATCAAAGGAAAAAAAACAGTAGATCTGTATAGATTTCAAACAAAATCGTGTGCGGAAGCGAAAAATTTAGATAGGATCGATCATGAACCAGCGAATGATACCATATTGAGATATGAACTCAGAGAGAAAAGAAAAAGGAACGCTTGATATTCTTGATGAACAGAAAATGAAAGTACAAAAGTGATTCTGAAACCCTAATACAAGCTATTTATACATAAGCTAAATAACTAAAAGTGCTAATACTGTAAACACAACTTTGGTTCTCCAAATGCACTAATAAGCAAAATACTGAAATACCCTTACATTAATAACTCTCTTAATCTTTTGCACCCAAAACCAACAACAAACTGCTCGTCTTCCTCCTCCTCAATCTCTCAACTCAAACTTGGATATATAACCAAATACTATTTGGGTAAACTTCAACTAATCCTGTAAGAGTTGGGTATATTTCTAACATTTTCACAAGACGGTCAAAATTTCCCCAAATTTTTTTCTCCAACACCATTCATTCATGTCTTTGACCCTTCATTTTGCCTGCTCCATGCCGCCGCCCATTTGATTTGAACAACAACTACAAGAAAAGAAGAAGAAGAAGAGAGACCGACAACGGACACAAAAAGTAGCAAACTTCAATCATACAAACTTGTAATTTTATTCACTTCACGACAGAGATAAGCAAAGTTGTGAGAAAAAAGAGTAATGAAGTGCTTCCATTTCACCACTAGCAGCGGCGATGAGGACGACGAGCAGGATGGCATCATGTCGCGCAGGGTCTCGTGGGCCCGTTCCCTTAGCGTGGCGTCCACCAACCTGGACTCGCGGCGCTCCGAGTTCGACACCGAGTCGCGCCGGGACTGGACCGACCCGTCCGACTTGTTCCGAGATTTTCTGAGTCAGGGTCGAGCCAATGATCTGCGCGTGTTCTCCTTCTCCGAGCTGAAATCGGCCACGCGGGGGTTCAGCCGGAGTCTCATGATTGGCGAAGGTGGGTTCGGCTGCGTTTACAGGGGCCGGGTTGAGCTGCCGGATCTTCTAGGGTCGGGTTTCAAGTCCGAGGTGGATGTTGCTATCAAGCAGCTGAATCGAAATGGATGCCAGGCATGTACTTAACCATTTTTGCTATATCTTTGGCTTCCCTTTGGCTGCTTTCGAGATGATTTGATTTGTGAAAGTTCATTTTCACGCTTAATGATCTTGTGGATGATGACGATGTTAACAATGAATCCTTTTGATGTCAATATGTGACCTATAGGCTACCTTGTCAAAGACTCAACTTCCACTGCATTCAGAATTATGATCAATCCATCACATTTTACTACTTTTATATTTTAAGCAATAGACTGCAAGTAACTGTAATTCTATCAATGATGAGAGAGTGTTTTACACTTCTAGTTATCAGGGGCATAAGGAATGGATAAATGAAGTCAATTTTTTGGGTGTGGTGAAACACCCAAATCTTGTGAAGTTAATCGGATATTGTGCGGACGATGATGAAAGGGGTATCCAGCGTCTGCTGGTCTATGAGCTTATGCATAATAAAAGCTTGGAAGATCATTTGTTGACCCGCTCGGCATCTACCACTCTCCCGTGGATAATGAGATTAAAGATTGCCCAAGATGCAGCTCGGGGGTTGGCATACCTTCATGAAGAAATGGAATTTCAGGTGGCCACACTTTGTCTTTTCCGTTCATCCTTTTTTTTCGCATTAATTCTATCTCAGTTTATCCCTGCACCAAACTCCCCAAGGTAAACTCAATGGACAAAAGTTACGAAACATGAATCATCCTTGTCTTGGATAAGTTATACTTGGACACAGTTTGTTTTTGCTGAAAAGTCTTGGTGTGTGATCTTTGAGCGTTCTTTTTGTCTGCAGTTACTAAGTTTTGCATGTATTAACAAGAAACTGGCAAATTATGTAACATATGGTTTGTCGAGCCATGTAAAAAGCTTGTGACTAAGATATTGAGGATGTAGCAGCTGATTGTGTAATTTCTTGAAAAACTTGCTGATCTCCTACCCCTTTTATCTGCTTTTGATTTACTTCTATCATTTGATCAGTTAATCTTTAGAGACTTGAAGACTTCTAACATCCTTCTAGACGAAGACTTCAATGCCAAACTGTCGGACTTTGGACTCGCTAGGCAGGGTCCACCTGCTGGATTGGGCCATGTCTCAACATCTGTGAGTCCACTTTCTGGACTTCACCCAAAACGTAATAAAAGAAAATCTATGTCGATATTAATTTGATTCACTCTGTGGATTGTGAAAATGTTTCCTCCAGGTTGTTGGTACAGTAGGTTATGCTGCTCCAGAATACGTGCACACGGGCAGGCTGACTGCCAAAAGTGACGTGTGGAGCTTTGGCGTTGTTCTGTATGAGCTGATCACAGGGAGGCGAGTGCTGGAGAGAAACCTTCCACGTGGCGAGCAGAAGCTTCTGGAATGGGTAAGGCCTTACGTGTCGGACCAGAAAAAGTTTCACCTCATTTTGGACCAGAGGCTCCAAGGACACGACTGCATGAAGTCTGCCCAGAAGCTTGCTTCCTTGGCCAACAAGTGCCTGATGAAGCAGCCGAGGTCACGTCCTAAAATGAGTGAGGTCACTGAAATGTTAGAGAGCATCATTGGTGAAGCTGTGCCTCCTGATGAATCTGGGTCTGAGGCTGCGGACAAAACGAGAAACAATGGCCGGTGGAAAGGTTTCGATTTTAAAGAGCTAGTGATGAGGAACAGGACGATTGGGAAGTTGGATTGGAGAAACTGGACTCCCAATCTAGTACTGAGGACGTGATGTGTGTTTTTACTGTTTTAAAAGAGAAAAGGAACAAAACAGAATTTAGTGATTTTTAATGCTTCGACTCATTTTTGGTCTTTGTAAATGTAGTTTCTAATATTTTCAACTGGGAGTTTGTAAGAGAGGAATGGTGATTATAATAGGATTAAATAAATAAATTTATTTTATTTTCTATTCAGTCAGATTTATTTTTCATCTCATTTTTCTCCATAATTTCACCATTCAACACTTTTTTTTAATTGCTATTCACGCCTCCTTATTACTACTTATCGCTCTTTGGATGAATAACTTCTGTCATAATTTCAGTTTCTTAAGAAAAAAAATCTTTCTCTCTCAGTCGTGGCCCAACAAAATTACGAAAAAAAAAAGAAAATCCTTGTCACCGCCGGACAAAGGTTTCATGATTCGCCCGACATATATATATATATATATATATTTTGCAATTCGTAAACAAATAATTTAAAAAATTTAATGACGTAGTCGGCCGTCACCGCAACCGGCGCAGGCGCAGCCGGTTTTCGCCAAGCGGCCGCACCGTAAGTGGTCAGCCGAACCTTAGGCGGGTGCCATCGCTGGCCAGTGACATCCTATGCGGCTGACATTGCCGACCGGCCAAATGCAAGGTGACCGTCAACCTTGGCTGGCCGAGATCGGCCAGCGAGTCCTTTTCTATTTTTTTTTTCTTTTTAATGTTTGAAGTTATTTAATTATTTAAATAATTAAAAATAAAATTGAATTAATTTATTTATTTAAATAAATTTTAGTTTAGTAGTTATTAATAATATGTTATAATAATATATTATATATATTAGTCAAATGTAATTATATTAAATTTATGATAATAATAATTTTAATAATACTAATTGTTTATATGATAATGTATCTAGTTTTAGTATATTTAGGAAACGAATTGGTTGTAATATATATAATAAAATGGTTTGTTGAGAAATTATTAGTTTCAAAAATTATAATTAGTATTCTAATATAAGTTGAAAAAATTGTATAATTTTTTAATTAATTAGTTTGTATAATTATTGAATAAAAAAGTGGAATTATATTAAATATGTGGTAACAATGATGACTAAATTGTTTTTTAATATTTTAAGAAAAATAATTACTTGTAGTATTTAATAATGTAATTTTGGAAATAGTAATAATCAATAATACTAATTATGGTCAGTTTGCGTAAATAATATTAATAAATAATTAATTGAATCTATTTTGTAATAATTAATAAAATATATGTATTTAAAAAGGTTGGTTACTAACTATTAGTTTAAATTATTGATTTAGATTGATGGTAGACCTGCCCGACCGGCCACAGATAGAGAGGCTGCCAAGTATTTGATTTTGGACCCCGACACACGAGAAGTCGATATGTATATGCCTCCGCTCGTCGCGGAGAGACATTGAGATTATGCGTCATCGAATGAGATAGACTGGTCACGTTGACGAGGCTGGCAGTTCGAGACGCCTCGTTCCGGTAAAGATCGGTCTGCAGTCTCTCTTCTAGCAGCATGATGATTATTATGAGTCGACAACCAAGAGGCTGCAGTTCTCAGAGGATTCTGAGGACTTTGACTCTGCATATGAGCAGGACATTTTTCCTACGACAGACTCCTGCACAATCAGCTCCTCCGCGTGTTAGGGGTCGTTTTACGTACTTATTGTTTTTTACCATTAAATATTTTTTTAGTTACTAATAGCATATCATTGATACAGTCAGTCACAATATGTCGTATGTATATGTTCAATTTTAATGCAGGTACTAGCAAATGATCTCGGAGTGTACTAGGGAATACCTGGGTCATTACAGGCCCAGTGCCCGGTGGTCCCACTATTGGAGTGTTATCCCTAGCTTTCTAGGGCACATAGCCTCCCGTATGTGGACTGGAGAGCTTAAAAGCATTATTAAATGCCAAAACAGACAGGGAGCGCACGACAAGTTGAGGACTTGACTCTCTATATGACTATCACTCTACGCGATCTGATAGTTCAGATCGGGTTGTGATATCTGGTGGACTCCATGCTCAGGTGGACACACTACTTATTTCTGCAATTGTGGAGCGCTGGCCACCGAATACTAACTCGTTTCATATGCCTTTTAGTGAAATGAGTATCATGATGCACGACTTTCGGGCCATTTTGAGGGTTCCTTTGGAGGCAGATATAGTTACACAGAACCTCGACACTAGCTCATGTCAGGCGTACTGCATAGAGATGTTACAACTGGCGAAGGATGAGCTGATGACGTCATTCTGGCAGCATGGTGCGATGACAGTTGCTGTCATTTTGGAGGAATTTTAGGAGAAGGGCTGGTTGCATGTGGTTAAGGCTACTGCCTAGGTGTGGGTGATGCTAACTACCACCTTGTTTGTTGACAAGAGTGGTACAACTAACTAGGTAAGTTAGTTGGCGACAAGTGAGAAAAAGCAGAATTCGATTTCGAGTTCGGATGAATACAAACGGGGCCGAAATGTAAAGTTGAGCAAGTTACCGACCCTTTAAAGGTTGGAAATTCCACAAAATTTGTATTCTAGGCAAAAGTGCGGTTTGCAAGCATCATTGGATAGAGGGCTTCGTTAGCTACGCGTAGGAAAAAATGGAACTCAATTCCGAGTCCAAACGAGCCCGAACGAGCGAAAATCGTGATGACATGCAAGCTGCCGACACAGTAGCGGCGCAAGCTAAGTAGCGTTGGGGGCAACCTTTTCTCTGTCGGCATAGTAGCGGCGCTAACCCCCTAGTAGCGGCGCTACTACCCCTTTTTCTGCCAACTTATGATTTTTAAGCTCATTTTTAGTGATGGTTGGTACCCAATCTCTTCAATCTTCTTCAATGGCGTGAAAGACACCACAAAGTGACATTTTCATCTATTAATCTTAAGCAAGAAGGGGGATCATTTGGCTATAAAAGGGGAGCATTTCCAAGCTTGAAAATCATTCAATTTCTCCCTCATTTTCACCTTGCATGTTTGAACAGTGAGGGGTTATTCCCCTTCTTTCCCTCTATTTCTTTTCTTCTTTTATTTTTTTTTTCTTTTTCTTCATTTTGTATTAAGGAGGAAGCTTGTAATTGAATGCAACACTTGGATTGAGATTAAATGTAAGTTTTTCTTCTTGTTTAATTCATGAACAATGGTTGAATTTGGAGAAAGATTATGTTGTGTTGAATCAAGTATGAGTAGCTAATCCTATAGCTAGGGGTAGGGATTGATCTTTCCGGTTTAATCTCGTTTATGTGCATGACGATAGCTCAATCTTGACAAAATGTTTTAATTATGAAATGATAAAATTACACTTGATAAATTTTTATAACCTAAGAGTGACACTTAGGTTAATTTGTGGATATAATCAAAGAGTGACACTTTGATTTGTGCTTGAATATTGATTTGTTGAGTGAGAGTTTGTTAATTCTACGAATTGCGACTTTTAGAACCGAAAGGGGATGAGTCGTAGAAATAATCGATTTCAAAACCAAGAGGGGAGGAGTTGGTGGAACTTGGCTCGTTTAGAGTAGACATGTTCGGAGACGTATTGTCTATGTGTTAATTGTTTTGTTAATTTGATCTTTTATGTTTATCCTCATATTACGAGAGTTATTGAGGTTAAACCGCTAAAAAGAGTTAGTTAGTCGAACCATTTAACCAAGTTATTGATTGTGTTTAAATGTGTGTAGAACCGAAAGCGATTATTCCCGATTCCCTAGTTTCTTTATCATTGTTTCATTTATATTTTTTTTAGATTATCGTTATTTCTTAGTTGCTATCTTAGTTGATCATTTTTCCATCCATCTTGATTAGAGTGTTTAGTTTTATTTTCATTTTATGTGTTATCAACACCAATATTAGATTCCGAACCGTCTTCCTCGAGAGATCGACCCATGAAACGAATCTTCGGTTCGGTACTCGGTAAAACAAAAATAATAATTTGTGCTACAACAAATTTGGCGCCGTTTCCGGGGAAGGCAAGTAGGATATTTCGTGTTGGTGTTTGATTTTATTTTCTGTATTTCTCTTTATTTTGTGTTTTTGTGTTCGTGTTCTTTGCCGCATCTTTGTTTTTCTCTTTGTTTTCGTTTTTGTTCTCTTTTCCTTTTCTTTCTTTTCGTGGCTTCGCGTGGTTGTTTTGTTCTTGTGTGCAGGTATATTGAACAGAAATGGCAATGAACCGGAGCAACATGTTCCCCTCATCTCAAACCCTTCACTGGAATAATGGGCCGAGCTACGGTTCGTGGGAGTATGGGCAACCATGTGCCTACTCTTACGAGCAACTGTGGTATCTGTTACCGTTCAAGCCACCATATGATTTCCCCGTGGACTCCTCGAATGACGATGCTAAGCTTGATCGGGTTATCGATTTTTTGACCTCCCCGCCACCCAAACGAAAATTCTTGAGGCCGAAGTCGAGAACCTAGCAAAACGTATTTGAGTCTTGGAGGATCGAGCTTACAATTTTTCCCCCGATTCCCTCATGCAAAATGAACTTCGGGGGAACGCTTTGACGAATGATGAAAATTTCGATCTCATTCTTGCTCTATGTCGGCCCAAACAGCACAATATGGAAGTTGTTTGCATTCGTTTGGTGGTGAAGCTTGACGGCATAATAGAACGCGCTCAGTCCGTCGAGATTGAATTCAAAATTCACGTGGGCGAGACTGAAGAAGAGGAGGATGCGTTCCCAGAGATTGAGGGTAATATTGTGATGGAGGAAGCTCCTGTGCCCGAATTCGAGAGTCTCTCACTCGAGCCATCTCTCCGCACCGTCGAGAAGGCCCCATTTAGCTCGACATGCTCCACGGACTTTCTCGTATTTCGGGAGAATGAATGTGGAGGTTTGTCGAGAATAGCTATGGGTCGTTTCGTTACCATCCTTGGTGTTTACGCTCGGTTCCACAAGAACATTGCCACTCGAGCCCACCATATCCTTGGTCATGCCACCCTTCCCATGCTGTCGCTTCTCGAGAATACGAAGGCATGGCATGATCGTCACTTCTTT